TATTGGTGAGTGTTGGAATGGTGGTGGAGATGGTATTGCTACTGCTACAATTATGCTTCTTGGAGATACTTGTACGCGTGGGTGTAGATTTTGTGCTGTTAAGACTAGTAGAAATCCTGCTCCTCCTGATCCTATGGAACCTGTTAGCACTGCTAAAGCTATTGCCAGTTGGGGGTAATTTTTTCTCTCTGTATTTAACATGTTGCTAGGAGCTTTTTTCTTTCTTTTGAATTGATAATGGTGTAGTATTAGAATGAAATGGGCCCAAAATAGAGCGCATTTGCCAAGAGTATTTCTAATTTGATTAGAGCTTTTCACTTATTGAGGTAGGGATCAGTGTGAGCTTTTGAGAATTGGAATGCAATCGGCTCCTATAGAGCAGAACAGTTGTAGAGGATGATCTAGCCTTTCCTGACTATTGGGTTTGATGTGTAGTAGATTGATTGTTAACGATTAGTATTTTGTAGTCACTAGCAAAACTTATTTGCATTGTGCTTGAATTTGTGTAATCGTTGTAGAATATTGCTTATAGGAATGGAGTACCATATGAAACAACTTCATTTAGGGTGTCTGATGGAAATAAGCCCTGTTTAAACTGATATGTACCGAATGTTCCTGCTTGTGTTTTTGCAAAGTTGAAGCTTTTTTTTATTGCTATCACAATACCCTGAAGTAGCTTATGTTTTTATGGTGAATTTCGTGTACAAGTTATGAAAAAGAGTTCCTTGATTTTCTTCTGCAGTGTGGATTACATTGTCTTAACTAGTGTTGATCGTGACGATATACCTGATGGAGGGAGTGGTCACTTTGCTGAAACAGTCAAAGCCATGAAGGTCCGGAGTTGATTTTTATTAGTAAACCCAGTGTATATTGTTTTATTCAAACATATGGTACATGATTGGATCAAGTGCAACTAACTGGATTTGTGCCTATATGATTTTCTCAGTTGCTCAAGCCTGATATCATGGTCGAGTGTTTAACTTCTGATTTCCGTGGTGATCTAAGTGCTGTGTCTACTCTGGTTCACTCTGGATTGGACGTTTTTGCACACAACGTCGAAACTGTGAAACGACTTCAACGTATTGTTAGAGATCCTAGAGCAGGGTAAGTTCTGGGAAACTCTTTCTTCTTCTCAGTTTGGTGCTGTGAATACTCCTATTTTTTGTCATTTACAGCTTTTCTTGATGAGTTTGTCATTTATAGCTTTTCTTTATGAGTTTGTCATTTATAGCTTTTCTATACAGCCAGTTGGTTTTGCCAGATGTTAGAGACTTGATGTGTGTACTCTGAACTGAAATATTGATCTATACCATTGTTGTCCCAAACTTGATGATTTACCGACCATTTATTAAGGAAGAGTACATGCAAGAATATTACAGTTGGTGTCGCCTTTTCTTTTTTAATCATTAATATGTTGGGTTTTTCCTCTGCTAAGTGATGACTTATGGATGAAACTTGAGCTCGACATTTTGGTATTTTTGGCAATTCTAACTATCCCCTTAGTAAGGTCATCTTATGGTCATATTGTAAATTTTTTCGAACGGTTATGGTCAAAATGTATTTGTGTGCTTCCTATCAAATTTTGAATACTCCTACTGATGGAGGATAGCATAATCCTCCTTCATTAATTACTTTGAGGACTGGGAGGAGGTCTGTTTATTGTTTAAGGCACAGGGAGGGAGGGTGCTATCTGCTCAATTAAAGGTTTAGTATTAGATATGGATTATTAAGTTTGGACTCGAAGCTTTATTGGTGTAGGTGAGGAAAAACCCAAAATAGTCCTTACTTTTGGGCATTAACTCAAAATCCTCTCTTAAATATATGGTGGAGCACTAATAGGCCTCCAAGTATTCAAATTGATCTGTTTAAACACAACGGCAGAATCACAGAAGTGCCAAATCTGCACGTCTGGTTCTCAAACATAAAAAAAAGCTCTTTTCCCATGCTTCTGGTTACTTTTGAAGAAGCACCTAACAACATTTATAGGCATACACAATACTCGTACCAAGTGGAGAAAAATCTTTGAAATTACATAGAAGAAAATGTGAACTGAGAATATTAAGTTTAAATGAATCTAATAACAAACAGACAAAATATGAAGATGAAATTTAAAAGAATCCATTTAGATGTGTGAAGTGGGTCTAGGTTCATGATAATGCATTGTGCTATCTAAATTCATACTACAAGGAGTTACAGGGGAGCGGGAGAAGAAATTGGTGTGGAAGTGGGTGTTAGGGGATGGTGGATGCTTTGTACCCAAAAGAGAAGTTTAAGCTCCCTCAGTTTCTATGAACTTTTAGAGTTAAGAGGGTACATTAGTTACTGTCAGGCTGCTGAGTGGCTATTTTCATGAGGACAGGTAGCTCAAGGTTTAGGAAGCATACAGTTTTGTGAATTAGAACTTCTAGAATGGTTGGTACTCCATCTCCAAGCAAGACTCAATTGAAATTGTTACTTTATCAAGTTATCTGACAGCAATTAAAGCATCAAACTAATGAAAGTCTCCTCTTTTGGACTTTGCTCTCTCTTCATCAAACACTGCTATTTTCCCAAGCATGCCAGAGTAAAAAAGGACCTCAGTGGTTTAATGAGGAAAATTGACTATCAGGCATCAGGTTACCTCTTCCAGTGTTGTTCCTGATAAAAGAAGAAGACGATCCAATCATAGCTAATGGAATCACTTCTGGGCAACATTACAAGTTCTGCTCTCTCTCTCTCTCTCGCAAACTGAGTTTGTTCATAGTTACAATTGACTCTGTTTATTTTCCACTAGAGTAAACAATGACTTAACCTAGATATGCGTTAAGAGGGAATGCCAATTGATATCTGGTTCATATCAGTTCTAAGTGTAAAAAGAAAATATGGCATATAAACTGAATACAGTGTAAATTGAACAGTCATCTTTTAGTCTGAAGGATGAACATAATGGAAATGCAAAACTGATGGAGAAAGCTGGATTTTGCAGTAAGTCAAGCCAGTCATAACGGATGAATGTGATTGAATGTGCAAGAATGGTAGTCCTTATTTTCAAAATAAAAAGGGAAAATGATAAATTCTAGAGTGCTAAGCATAATTTCCTGTGTCAGGAACAAACTGATTCACAATTTGTATGAATTCATGAATTGCTTGCACATCATAATAAACTTGTGTGATACTTGTCCCTAGAATAGGAATAATGATAATAATTACTAGTATGAGATGCTAAATGATTTCACATTGGATGATGCAGGTATGAACAAAGTCTATCTGTGCTTAAACATGCAAAACTCGATAAGAAAGGGATGATAACAAAAACTTCTATAATGTTGGGACTTGGTGAAACTGATGATGAGCTGAAGGAAGCCATGGCTGATCTAAGGGCCATAGATGTTGATATTTTGACGCTGGGCCAGTATTTACAGGTGAGCATTATGGTACCCGGGATTCAACCTCTAGATAAAAAGTGGCTTTACTGGTTCAAATCCTATGTAACTAACTACTTATGAAATGGCGTACTGGTTTCTGCTGTCTTGTCACTTCTGTGTTCTCAGAAGACTTCATTTAATTTGTTTTGATGTTTGAAGTTTGTGATCCACTGATGCTGTATCTCTTTTCGTCGTATCTCCTCTCTGAGGCTCCTAGCAACTTAGACTAATGAAGTTATCTCTCATTTATGCAGCCAACCCCATTACATCTTACCGTCAAAGAATATGTTACCCCTGAAAAATTTGCTTTTTGGAAGGACTATGGAGAGTCTATTGGCTTCCGATATGTTGCCAGTGGTCCCTTGGTAAGACCTTACACTAATAATAATCTCCTTTCGATAAGAAATGCCTGCTTTTGAAGTTTGATTTTAGTTTTTCAATGTGGAAATTCTAACTAGATCATGAATGGTACTAGTGAATCACAGCCAACTCTTCTGAAACAGGAGAATCGGACTTGTTTCGTTCTTAATCATGTCATCTGTCAAGCTTGCAATCTTCTCTTTGACTGCTCCAATTGTGTAAGCTTTGTGATTTAACAGAGTTTTTTCTTCTCCAGGTTCGATCCTCCTACCGAGCAGGAGAACTGTTTGTTAAGACAATGGTGAAAGAGAGTGCCAGAAATGCGCAAACTATGTCACAATAATTTGCTGCCTCTTCTCACACACACACATACAAGAAGCTGCAATAATTATTTTTTTTTTGGGGAGATTGATGATTATGGCAAGAACAAGAAATGTGAAGACACAATACTCTGTAATCACCGCTATGAATCTTACAGAGCCTTGAAAGGCAAATTTTGCCTTTTGTTTGTTGTACCTTCTCTTCTTTATTTCTGTTAAGTTATTCTGTATACAAACTAGAAGCAAATTAGTTTTTTTAAATCAATTTCTTTGATGCTAGTAGATGTTTGGAAAAATTGTGTAATCAATTTCTTGTTTTCCTTGGAGGTTCTGGTTATATGTGCCCCTTCTGTTTGTAGTGATCTCTTTTATGCTATATAACAAAACAAGGTAGGAATCTATGTCAAACTTTTTATTACTACAAGAGGTGAAAACTTGAGTGGATCATGGATGGCTTATTTTTTTTCTTACCCCCTCGTAAGAGCGATTCAAACTCACAATCTTAGGGCTTGTTTGGTAGCAGGGTAAGTGAAAACTAATCTCGAGGTTATTTGTAGGATAAAATCATGATATAACTTATTCTGAGATTAGTTATCCCGTGATTGTAATGTTATTTTTATCTTATGTTGAGGGTGAAATATAACTAATTTCAGAATAACTTGTTTCCAACCAAATGAGCCCTTAGGGCTAGTTATCCCGTGATTGTAATGTGGTGAGATAACTAATTTTGGAAAACTTGTTTCCAATCAAACGAGCCGTTAAGGTTGAAAGTGAGGGGTGCGAGTGTTTGAAAATATATTTGCGGGACTCTTGTGAACTTACCTAGAACATGAGGGAGGGATTTGTTGCGTCATTTTCTCTACAGGCCCTCAAAGGAAAACTATACAAACCATTTGTCACTCTTTTTCACTGAACAACGAACTCAAATTCCCCCATTGAAGAGAGAGAAAGAGGAGAGAGAGACAGCGAGAAATGGCGAGAGACAGCTGTTTGGCGCGTGTGACGGCGGGGGTAGCCGTCGGTGGTGCAATTGGTGGCGCTGTTGGTAAATTCCTTCCAACTTTTCTTCTTAAACTCTACTAACCATTTTTCTCATTTTTGCTTATTTTTTTTGCCCTTAATCGATACTGTTGCTGTAATTGGCTTGAGAAATGACTATTTAGATGGAGTAACATAGTCGTTGAGGATTCATATAGCAGACCCCGACTTGCTTGGGACTGAGGAGTAGTTGTTGATGTCATATATCAACTGTGTTCTAGATTTTATGAGCTTGTTTGATCGAGTAATACAGTCAATGAGGGTTCATATAGCCAACACCAGCCTGTTTGGGACTGAGTAGTTGATGTCATTGCTCAATTGTGTTCTAGATTGTATGAACTTGTTTGTTTGAGTAATATAGTCAATGAAGGTTCATATAGCCAACACCAGCCTGTTTGGGACTGAGGAGTAGTTGATGTCATTGCTCAATTGTGTTCTAGATTTTACGAACTTGTTTGGTAGTTATTGCTAACTCTACTTATTTGAGCTTTGTATAGTTGATTTCAAGTGTGATAGAAGAGGAAAGTGATGTATGTTGAAAGGAGGACTAGAAATAGTCATGATATGGTCAATGATCTAAATGGGTCCGAGTAAAGTGGAATTGAAATAGTAGATTTCCATTTAAGACCCTGACTAATTTGGGATTGAGGCATAATGGATGGACTATTTGGGAATTGATTGATGACATTACATCAATTAGATGGTGATTTTGTGGGTTTATCAATGATACTGATAGGAAATGGCAGAAGGGAACTCTTATTTAATAAACCTTAGGGTAGGGCCTTCACACTGGAAAGATCGTATCCATAGTTAATGAAGGGTGACGGAGCTAGAGTACAGAAACATTAGCTATTAGTTTCCATTAGTGGAATGGAATGGGTTGGACTAGAGAATGGGCCCGTTCCTCTACCCTTTTCTACTTAGATACTAGGCTTTTATCTGTGGAGGAGTTTGAATTCATGACGTGTGCCTAACCGACACTTGCGTGCTACTCCCTTACCACTAGATCAAAGCTCTTGGGGCCTTTGCTTAGTAATTTTATTATATTATAAAAAAGATACATCTAATTTTTCTTAATTGGCATCAGCAGATAAAAGGCATGCAAATTTTCTTTTAAGATGATAATAAAGAACGAGCAACCTTTTCTTGTTGAAAAGGTAATATAAAGGCGAGCAACTTTGTTTTTTGATAAGGTAGATAAAAGACAAGAAACCTTTTATGAACTGGATTATAGATGTGTTACAACTGGCAATTCTAATTACCTTACCACATTGGGAAGGAAGAAAAGAGACTTAGAGACCAAACACACTTTGTGTAGTTTGGTGGACTAAAAAAGAGAAGAAGCCCAAATAATAGTAAAAAAATTTGGGTTGTGTAGTTGGTGTAGAAGGAGGAATTATAGTTAAATATGGTGAAGGAAGTATATCCCTCACTTCTATTTTTCGAATGAAGGATCAATCGAGGTTGTTTAAGTATATTTTAAAATTTCCTTTTAGAGTTTCTTACCTCTTGCTCCATTGGCTACTGACCGCGACTTTGCCATTTATTCAAGATATATTTTCTTTATAAGGTAAGATGTTTACCGAAGATATCTCTCATATACTGAGTTGGAAAATAGAAAACTTTTGGGCAGGTTCAATTTGTTAGAAGTAAGAATACTTGTCACTAAGGCACGTGGAGAAGATTTTCCATTTTGGCTTTGTGATGCCTTTCTGTGGGAGGTTCTTTATAACTGAATTCATACTTTCACTTTCACCAGTTGAGTGTGCTGACCGTTACCAGGGCCTTAGAATGATGTCAAAAGTTTTCATCCTCGAAGATGTCAAAATGAAGTATTATTACTTTTATGGCAATGCCTCAATCAGACATTACTGAAAGAAGATTCAGTAATTTGAACTGCATTTGATTCGTAATGTTCATTTGTAGGTGCTGTTTATGGGACATATGAGGCTGTTAGATACAAGGTAAGTTCTTCATCCTTTTCTACCACCTATTAATTTAATAACCGTGAATGCAATCTAGCTTCAACTCTTCTCCTTTCTTTTTTAGTATTATTTAAATTTACTGGCTAGATTTTATGTCAATTCTCCTCTTCTTGGTTTGAGTACTACAAATAAATGTCCTTATCAAAAGAAGTAGTGCCAGTAAATAATCTAGGTTTAGCCTTGGTCTTTAATCATTGATTTCATTGAAGTGCCTTCAAAGCTATATACATGTGGAATAATACTGCAGTTTATGGTTGAAGGTTAGCCAGGTTGCAGTGCAAGCTTCGGGTATCCTCAACTTAATGTTTTTAAACAATAGAAACATATTTTAATCTATCAACGATATCATGTAGGGGTCTCAACACTTTGTTTCCCAAGGTATCCAGATTGTGGTTTATGTTAGCCACTTCATGACATGTTTGCGTGATGACTAGAATCTAGATCAACAATTCACTCATTTCCAGAAAAAAATTGCATGTTGGTTTTTTGTCGAGTGAAAACTAAAACAACAAATGAACTTCAAAAAGCTACCTGTGTTTTCCTGGACAACTCAGACATCAAGTAATGGACAAGCATTGATGAGGGTGTTGAGGATCGTACTTACGAGAGCAGTAGCTCTTTCTTTTCTTTTTCATTCTAATCGATTTCTGGTTTGTGCCTTTACTACTATCAGTTTCTGGATTAAGTAGGTTATAAATAAGGATTCTGCTTTGATCTTTTTGTTTCTTTACCTTTGTGTCGAGATGTCTAATGATTTTTTCCTCCTTTCGCGATTGAGATGCAAGTGAAATCTGTTGATTGTCGAAGTTTCATGCTGTGGTTCCCTTATTATAGTCTTCCTAAATTTGCTCAAGTTTGTCGAACTTTTGATATAGTTATTCAGTTTTCCTACCATACTATTAGCCCATGACGGCATGAACTTTCTCAATATTTTGCAGGTTCCCGGCTTAATGAAAATTCGATACATTGGACAAACTACTCTGGGAAGTGCTGCCATTTTCGGTCTCTTTTTGGGAGCTGGAAGCTTGATACACTGTGGAAAGTCATACTAAGGATTTCTTTTAGTGCTGACTAAAACTCTTTTTGTCTCAAGATCATAGAACAATATCATCATTATCAGAAGAATGCTTCGTGTTCTTCCGATTTGTTTTACGTTCTGTAATTTTCCGGTTCAAACCGAGTTTTCTCTTAGCTTTTACCTCCATTTAATGGTGGAGCCTTACCCGTTCTGAATCTTGATTAGTCGAGCTAGTGGATTTCTGAGACCGGATGGTTAAACAACAAAAGAAAGTGTTAGAGAGTTTCACTTGAAAAAGTCGAAATTCAAGAACAATATCCAAGAGTTCGAAGATGTGTCATGAGTGAATTAATAATCCTTTAGCATTATTTGAGAAACTTATTCATTTAATCATTATTTCATTCATGATATAATAAAGTCCGTGCAAAAAAATAATATATTGAGTTGAAACAAATATGAATTCTATATCAAAATCGTGTATACATCATGAAAATTATAATTGACAAATTTAAAGGACTAAAAATGTTCGATGCATAATTCAAAGGATTATTTCTAACCTAGTTTTAAACATATACGACCATGATGGTTGTTTTCCCTACTTCTGATTTTAAAAAGAAAAATATTAAATTTTAAGACAAATGGAAAGAAAATATATGCATATGTCTGTTTACTATTCTTTTCGTAATAGTAATATATTTCTTTCCTTTTTTAAAAACTAGTAATATCCTTATATATATACTTTGTCTTAATAAGAGCTAAGTTTTTGCTTTTTTAGTTGAAGAAAAAAAATACTTCTTTTTATCTTCTCCTCCTCACCATTCCTTTGAAGTTCTTCCAATAGCTCACACGTTCGAGTCGTAAAATCTTGCATCAGGTTAGACTGTCTATGGATAGTACCCCTCCCGTGATCATGTAGGATGTTTCGTGCACCAAACTATTTTTAAATTAAAAATATTGATCTATGTTAGTTTTTTTTTCAGCCATGAATCTAAGCTTATTTAAAGTGCCAATGCCTGTTGGTTTCTGCTTGGTTTTGGTGAGTTTTCTAGTGCTAAAATATTTATTAGTCAATTTCATATTAAACCAAAAATAATAAGAATATTTAGCTAACTTATTATTTTTTTTTTGAATATTTTGTCACGTGTAGTTACTCATAATAGTATTGGTACCTGCTGTATTGATACCTTTTTGGGTCCATAAGGTCAAAATAATTGAAGGGGAGATTAAGGTACTGTCTCACATCTATCGACTATTTTTAGTTTAAACAGTCTTGAACGACTATTTAGGTTAATTCTTCGTATGGTTGAATTTTTCAGGTGTATAATGTACAGGATGTTCTACAACGCGATTATCATAAGAACATTAAATTTGGATTTATGTTAATTATCTTAATGATAGTTGTTTTGGCTGTATCCATAGTTACTTTTGTTATACTAACAGTAAGAGCAGCAAGAAGAGAAATGTATTTGTGTTCTGCACTTATAAAGCAAATGGAAGCAACTCAACAAGCTGAGAGGAAGAGTATGAATAAAAGTACTGCGTCTGCTCGCGCAAATCATGATGTTAGAGCTTCTCTTGCTGGAATAAGTGGATTAATTTGGATGTGTCGCGTTCAGGCTTCACCTCAATCTGAATTGGTGAAGTATTTGGATCATATGGAGTCTTGCAAGAATGATCTTTTAGGTTAGTGTTTTGTTAGCTTAGTCGGATTTAACTTATGTACTCTGAAGCGTTTATAGTATAGTATTTGGATCATATGGAGTCTTGCTAGAACGATCTTTTAGGTTAGTCTTTTGTTAGCTCAGTCAGATTTAACTTATATACTCTGAAGCGTTTAAAGTATAGTAAAGTATTTGGATCATATGGAGTCTTGCCAGAACGATCTTTTAGGTTAGTGTTTTGTTAGTTTAGTCGGATTTAACTTGTGTACTCTGACAATCTAAGAAAAGCGTTTATAGTATAGTAAAGTATTTGGATCATATGGAGTCTTGAAAGAACGATCTTTTAGGTTAGTGTTTTGTTAGTTTAGTCGGATTTAACTTGAGTACTCTGACAATCTAAGAAAAGCGTTTATAGTATAGTAAAGTATTTGGATCATATGGAATCTTGAAAGAATGATCTTTTAGGTTAGTGTTTTGTTAGCTTAGTCGGATTTAACTTGTATTCTCTGACAATCTAAGAAAAGCGTTTATAGTATAGTAAAGTATTTGGATCATATGGAATCTTGAAAGAATGATCTTTTAGGTTAGTGTTTTGTTAGCTTAGTCGGATTTAACTTGTATTCTCTGACAATCTAAGAAAAGCGTTTATAGTATAGTAAAGTATTTGGATCATATGGAATCTTGAAAGAATGATCTTTTAGGTTAGTGTTTTGTTAGCTTAGTCGGATTTAACTTGTATTCTCTGACAATCTAAGAAAAGCGTTTATAGTATAGTAAAGTATTTGGATCATATGGAATCTTGAAAGAATGATCTTTTAGGTTAGTGTTTTGTTAGCTCTGTTGGATTTAACTTATATACTCTGACAATCTAAGAAAAGTGTTTATAGTAGTAAAGTATTTGGATCATATGGAATCTTGCAAGAATGATCTTTTAGGTTAGTGTTTTATATTAGCTAAGTCAGATTTAACTTGTATACTCTGACAATCTAAAGAAAACGTTTATAGTAGCAAATTATTTTAACATATTATGTTTATAGCAGGTCATCTGTCTTATTTTATTGCGCGATTACCTGCAATGTAGCTTCAAAGTTATGATTTTTTTCCTTCAGACATATTGAATTCGATTCTTGACGAAAACAAGATTGAAGAAGGGAAGAAGCAGCTTAAAGAAGAAGAATTCAACATGGAAGAGTTACTAGAACATGTTGTCAACATCTATTACCCGAATGGAGCAATGAAGAATGTCGATGTGTTACTAGATCCATGTGATGGTTCTATCGCGAGATTCTCTCGTGTTAAAGGAGACAGGATAGAATTGCAAAGGATCTTGAATAACCTGTTGCAAAATGCAGATAAATTTACATCAGAAGGACACATTACTCTTCGTGCTTGGGCTCGAAAACCTGGTTTTGAGGAAAGTTCCACTCTGAATACAAGTAACTCTAGCATTGGTTGTATGCCATGTTTACGTTTACAGAACGATGAATCTTCTGCAGAAGTGCGAGTACTGAATAGAGTTCAGCAAGATCCTAACTGTGTGGAGTTCATATTCGAGGTGGATGATACAGGGAAAGGAATTCCGAAAGAGAAACAGAAGTCAGTTTTTGAGAATTATGTTCAAGTGAATGATCAGACAACTTCTGTTCATGGATCACAAGCAGGCACTGGCTTAGGCCTCGGCATTACTCAGTCGTTGGTACGTGTATCTTTTACCATATACTTCGTACAATAGCAAATTCAAAATTTAGAGTCAGTATGTTCTGCTTTTTCTAGACACGCCAATTTCACACACACACACAGATGTGCGTGCTGCGTCTTAGTCTAGAACTGGAACTGTCAAGTTTTATAGATTCTGTAAAACTTCTGCAAATATCTTAACAGTTCATTACATATTTTGCATTGTACATTTATTTCAGCATAGTCTTCTAGCTCTATGTTTCTCCGACTCTTCAAAAATCTCACTAGGTGCATGTCGGATCCTCCATAAGTAGTGAGTTTTTTGAGTATTTGACACAGGTGCATCAACATTTTTGGAAAGTCCGAGCAACTCAGGACTCTAGCTAGTAGTCTTTAATAAACGACGTCAGGTTTCTTGTTTTTATCAGTGCTATTGCAGTCTATATTTGGTACTAATATTTCTCCAACAGACAATCTGATCATATCATTATAGAAACATTTCAAGATTTGCTTCATAGCGCGTTTAATGAATTTCATACTTCAAATCTCATGTTACTTCCATATTTACGTTCATTTTTCAGGTTCGTTTAATGGGAGGTGAGATAGGTATCGTCGACAAGCAAATTGGTGAAAAGGGCACTTGCTTCAGATTCAACATTTTCCTCATAGCAAGTGATCAACCTCAACTTCAAGAACATCAAGCAATTAGTGTTAATTGTGCAAAAGAAGAAGATTTAGAGTCTCAATTAGGAGGAGATTATATATCTAATGACTCTTATTATCATTCAGTAGCAAGTGATAACAGTATCACTAGTCATCAAAAATCCAATGTCATTCTTTTCATTAAGGAGGAAGAAAGAAGTCGAGTTCTTCGTAGATTCATGATGAATGTACTTGGCTTAAAGGTACATGTTGTGAATCGACACGAGCAGTTTCCTCAAACTCTCAAGAAAGTGAAAGGCAAGATAACCAACTCCTCCTCGTCCTCGTGTAAATCAAAGGAAATTCCCCTCAGTGCTCTAGATGGAACAGATATCGATATCTCATCATTTCAGAGGAGAGGCAGAGGACTAAGATTCATCTTGATCATAATTGACACAAGTGATGGACTAACTCGAGAAATGAGTCGTGCTATGGCTGAGTTACGAAAGGACTTCCCTAAGAATGTGTCTCTTCGTGTTGTTTGGATTGATAAACCAGGTGTAGATGAGGATAAGCTACCTTCAACAGACATAGTCATAACAAAACCACTACATGGTTCTCGTTTATTTCGTGTCCTCAAATTTACACGAGAAACAAAGGACGAAACAACTTCAAGAATCAAGACTCAACAACATACATTAGTACAAGATGTTTCTGTTGATGTTAACGGACATTCTAGTAAGAAGTTACCTTTAACAGGAAAGAAAATCTTGGTGGTTGAGGATGATAGGATGTTACTTATGATTTGCAAAACCGCGGTTTCTAAGCTTGGTGCAACCACTTACACATGTAAAAATGGTCAAGAAGCTCTAGATGAAGTGTGCAAAGGCCTTAGTGAACAACGCGATATAGGATCATCCACTCCTTCACCACCATTTGATTATATTCTAATGGATTGTGAGGTAAACATGTTAACTACATCGATAGTATTACATTGTCAGTATATATAACTTAATTACATCGTTGTTTGTTTTGTGACAGATGCCCGAGATGGATGGATTTGAAGCAACGAAATGTATTAGGAAAGAAGAGGCGCGATATGGAATTCGAATACCTATAATAGCTTTCACAGCACATACAGAAAAGGAAGAGACAGATAAGATTTTTCAAGCTGGAATGGATTATTACTTACCTAAAGAAAGCAAAGGTGAAGAGATTTTGAAAGCCATAGATTTTATAGAACATACAAAGGTTTAAAAAATGTTTGTTATGTGAGACATGAAGTAAAAACTTTTTCGATATATCAAATCAACATATGCATGACATGTGTATTTTATCACTTAACCGCGGTTAATATGCTCGAGTTGGTACAATTTTCATTTCTAAAGTTTGAGCACCAACTATGGCCTTTAATGGATCATCTTTCCTAAACCTAGTATACGCGCGTTTATGCACATGATATGTTTTAACTTGTTTTGTTAGCAAGTATGCCGAGGGTCTATCGAAAATAGTATCTTTATCTCTACGAGTAAGGGTAACGTATGAATACGCTCTATTCTCCTAAACCTCATTTGTGAGATTTCACTGAATATGTCATCATTGTTAATTTGTGAGGGTGATAGGATTCTTGCATAATTTAGATGTGTAATTACCAGTTTCACGATAGTATAGGTGTGTTTCTATGTCTTATCCTTTTTTTAGTTATACAGATAGACCATAGTCGTTTGGTTCATGAGATAAGATGGAATATTGTAAATTATATCTTCAACCAATTAATAAAGTATAAACTAATCGAACCAGTGAGTTTTGAATACCGAAATATAACTAAAGATATAAAAATGTTTTCTATATTTCTTTTTGGCAAGAATTTGCATAATATTATAGTTAACTAGGCAATTTTCTCATTGGTAAAGCATTCCCTCAATTTGACTTGTGCCTTGTTTGAACCAGTTGTGTGAATAATATCACAACACTCACATCGACCCATCTGAAAAAAATAAAAATAAAAAATAGGCAAGAAAAAAATTAATATTTATTTTAACAACTATATATACTCAAACAAATATGCAAATTATAATAAAATGTAATAACTATAAATATTTGACTAATCCACTTATTTTTTTAAGTGAATTTGAAAATATACTCAAAAATAAATATGCAAATCATAATTAAGTGTAATAACTATAAATATTTGACTGAAAATTCACTTATTTTTATAAGTTAATTTGAAAATATACTCAAAAATAAATATGCAAATCATAATTAAGTGTAATAACTATAAATATTTGACTGAGAATTTCACTTGTCTTTATAAGTTAATTTGAAATTAATGTATAACTCCATAGATTTTGAATTTGAATTTACCTAACAATAACTCCAATGAATTTTTCTATTGCAGAATCTCAAAACATTTAATTAGTTGATTATAAATAAATTATTGTGTAACTAAGTCAACTTGAGAATTAAAGAGAATAAAGAATCTCTAATTTTGTCTTCTTCTGTTTTTATTGCCTAACCCCCACCCTAGATGGTCCCGATTAATTTAAATTTGCATTTTAATAGCTCTTCTCTCAAAATAAATTAAAGCACTCCCTAGCTTTTGGATTGGAAACATAAATCTAGTTAAGAATGAAGGGTTCTTGCCACTTCTTAAATTTTTATGATTCTAATTTTTCCACTCATCCTCAAATACGTCACGTATTTATCAATTTTTTTTTTTGTTTTCTCTATATCTAACATGATAAAATAATATTTTTGTGTCTTTATGGTGACAGTGACTCTACATGAAAATAGTGTTACTTGATATGTAAGTGTATATAAAATTTACCTCTGCGCGTTTTTTTCTAGGAGAGTAGACTTGAATCTTGTTGACATAATTCGCCGAATGGTTGCCATCGATCGGACAACCCTGCAGCTTCCGCACCACCGACCGCGAATACGTGGCCATAATTTCATTTTTATTCTGCGCTCCCCCAATAGATTTCAAGTAAAAAATATGAGGAGTTTCACAAGAATCTTTTACACGTGACCTCGTATTAAACATGTAGAATGGAGGATTTTTAGGTCTACCACTCCAAGTGTCAAATGTTTCAATGGGTTTAATTAAATGACTTCTTGGCATAATTTTCTCATAAATATGAACTGAATATCCCCATGATACTGAAAATGTCCAATTGCTAAGCCTATGGTGACATATTGTTTGTTGTAATATACGAGAATTATCAATTTTTGCTGCTTTCATAAGGTGCTTTGTTGATTGTATACGATCCATTGAAGGGAAAATTGGTGATACAGCATCAAAATGGTGAAGAGATATTAATGGCTCTTTTGGATGCGACGATAAAAATCCTGAAATATCACCGTGCAAATCGATCTGCAAGAGAAAATTCAAAGTAAAACTAATCATAAAAAAGAAGTACAATAGTAATAAATGTTTCTTTCTATCAATAAAAAAGAAGTACACTAGTAATAAATGTTTCTTTCAAGTTTTTCAAAGTAGTTCATTTCTGAAGAACCAGACTCACATCCATTGATATTTTCAAAGAATTCGACCAATAAAGACAAAAATCCCACATATTCACCTAACAATAAAAAAAGGGGAAAAGATATACAAAACAAGAGATATATATTACTTAGTCAACCTAACAGGAATATGATAATATTTTTGGAAAATCCAAACAACGTACCTGATGAAGACCTTTGAGAGGAATAAAGCTACCTCCAAGATCCACTATACAAGTCATAGTAATAAGATCAGCAGATCTTAAATGTGGATATCTCCTTAAACAACTCTCCATATCTTGAGCCAATGCTTTTGCCAATGGAAAACTCATAATAATTCCAGCACCACCAAAACCTTGATTAAAAGAGTACCAAAAATTAGATAAAATGTACTCACTTTGACCTCCAAAATAGTAATACTTGTTATGATCATATTTTCCAAGAACATCAACTAGATTTTCCAAGAAAAATATCGAATCGTCGTCTCCCATAATCACCCATCTAACACCTTCATGTTGTTGATCAATTAATTCCTTGATACCATGTACCATTCTAGCCATAATTGGTGCAATGTGGTGAGTTTCTTGTACTAATTTTGTTATATTTGTTGAAACTCTATAAGGGGGTGAATTTTTTGACCATGGTAACAAATTTGGATTAGGTGACACATCAAGAAACAAGTAACCTCTTGTTAATTTTGGCTTCCACCATGTTTCAATGTAACTTTTTCTATAATGCCATGCTTTTTCAGATCCAAGTAGACCAAAAATTAAATGACTAAGATTTGTGTCATTTGATGAAATTGGTGAATATTCATAAGGTGAAGTTGGACAATTTGGATCAATAAAAAGAAAAATTGAGGCCAAGTAAAGAATAACACCAGAAAATAGGATAACTTTGCAAAGATTAGCCACAAAATACTTGTCAAATGTTGAAGCAAACTTCTCTCTCAATGAATCAAATGAAGGAAGTAACATTTTTTTTTTCTTGAAGAAAAATGAGAACTTTTTTGTGTGCTAGATTTTTTATTTTATTAAAGGCTGCTAGAGGTATATATAAAGTATTTTATTAATTGTTGTAGAGGTTGCTTCTTCAAATTTGAATGTTGACTAGATTATTCAAGTAATCTTATGATATTTAGTATGAAATCATCTAAAAAGTAAGCCATTTAATATTTTTAGTCTATTGACATATTCTAAAAAAGTAGGTACCAAATTGTAAGGAAAGAAAATTTTGACAAGTAATTTTCATTTTAGAGGTATATAAAATAATTTAATCATATATTATATATAGTAGATAATAATCACCCTCTCCATTCACTTTTACTTGACACTTATTCCTAAAATAGATTTTTATTTTTACTTGTCATTTTTGACATATTAAGAAAATACAATTTTTTTTCATGTTTTACTTGTAGCATTAAATACTACTTTCCATATCATTTTTCAAGATTCAATATACTAAACATTACTCCTTCCGTCCATTTAATTTTTAGTTGTCATGATTTCCTTTTTTAGAATCAAATGATAAGAACTTTGACTAACATTTTACGATATATTTTATCATCATATTGATATGTAAAAATTGTAATTTATAGTACTTTTCATATAGCTTTTCAATATCTAAATTTTTTGTTTAAAATATCAAATCAATGTAATCTAATTTAACTTTGAAAATTAGTCAAATTGACTTTTGAAAAGTACAACATGACAACTAAAAATGTACAGAGGGAGTAATTAGTAGGAATAGTGTGGAAAAATACCTATATCAATAATTGATTTCTTAATGGGTGTGTCAAGTCAAACAATGACAAGTAAAAATGAACGGAGAAAGTAGGTAAGAAGAAATTAGCTATGAAAATCGGTGTTGGATCCGTCATTAAATAGGATTAGCAACGAGTTTTTATTGTTTATCGACATAAACTATCTGTCACTAATTTTTGTTTCTTTTCTATAAAAACTACAAGAATAATATATCCAGCGAAATTCTACGTAATGAGATCTGAAAAAGATAGAATGCACGCATAGATATAGAAAAATAAATTTCTTATATAATAATATGAAAATGATCAGACGAAAACGTATCAGGACAATATTATGATTCAAAGAAAAACAATTAACTAATAGTAATTGGATTATGACTAGTGATGTAGATTAATATTCAAGATTTTATTTCATCTTCAAATATAATATTATTTTGGTCTAGGAGCAATATTATATATAATTCAAGGAAAAAACAACTTACTTGTAGTAATTAGATTATGACTTGTGCTGTACGATGATGTTCAAAATTTCGTTTCATTTTCAACTATATTTTCTCTTGGTCTAGAAGCAATATAATTGCTAACTAATATTATATTTTTCCATTAAATTTATTTACTTTAAAGGTCATCAATTGCGGGCCGGGTTAAAATTAAAAATTTCATGATATTTTAGAATTTCTTGATTGTAACATGAAAATTTCAATTTCTTGATTGTAACTTGAAATATATGGCAATTATAACAAATATATCATATGAATTTTCCTCAACAAACACAACTAATTTACGAGCATCACATCTTTTTTTATATCACGATAATCTTTAGGTTAAAATATCATTTATCATCCATTTTTTTTACTATATTGTTAAAACTTTAAAACAATGATTATTTTTCAATTACAGGAATTGAAATATGGTTATTTTTTAATTTTTTAAATATATATGATTAGTATATATAATTCGATGAAAGTTGAATAGTCAATATTTTACAACCATATATAATAGCTAGATGAGAAAAATGTGTTCTTATCCAATATATGAATAGAATTATGTCCTTTGTGAGAGTAATTGACATTGACATTGATACATTATTTGAGGACTACACCAAATTAACCAGACAAGTTGAGCAGCCCTACTATTCTCACCACATACTATAATATCTTTTATACTTAATCAGATCATATCTTGAGTTTGAGTCTCTGTGTATGAGAAAGCAAAAAATATATAAATTATTATATCGAGGACGTAAGAGATTTATCATATTCTTCTTACAGAAAAATCACACACACTATATATAAAGTTAATTTTTTAAAAAAAATAATGAATGTATAGTAGATGATGAAATTTTAAGTGAAAATTCTGTCTCCACCACTATTATATATGTATGTAGTTCACTTTTTGAAACTAAACAATGAACACAAAATATTATATTATCCAAAAAAAGAGGAGAGAACTATAAAAATAAGATAAATAATTTAAAGAAAGTTTAATAATGAGGATTAATTTAATTCTTGATTTGCACGTTAAATGCACTTTTTTTTTACTTGAATTCTGATGACTGATCTGTAGTAGAAGGATCTGAAAATACTTCCAAATTCAATTCTATTTATTTAATCTTACTTATAATTATATTATTATTTAATTAAATATAAATTAAACATTTAACTTAATCCATTTATAGGTATAGTGCGATAGAGTGAAGTTTCTTTTTCTTTTAATTAAAAGTTTCAAATGAAATTTTAATATAGAAATTTTAAGTTTAAGTCGTGAAAATAATCTTTCTTTATTAGTCTTTGAGTTCGAGTGAGTCTGCATTTTTTTAATTAATTAGTAAATGACGTAGGTTGGTTATTAAAGTGGTCACATCACGTACACTCTAGTTGCCAAATTGGCTAAAAAGTAGTAAAAATACTATGTTCATTTGTATTTAGTGGTGGAGTTTATTTTTAAATTCTACAATCATTTTGTCACTATAAAGTTGAGAAAAAATAAATAGAAATATGATAGAATATTCCAGTTAAGATAGTTTGTACTTGTGTTTATATTACTTTATTTTACTTACTTTATATATATATATATGAGACTATGAGAGAGAGAAAAGAAAGTTGAACTCCCTTATTAACTAGAGTTGGGGTATTTGTGGTATTTCATTTATATGTTGCTTATTATAATTGTATGTACAATCAAATTCTAAGATGATACTTAATATAGAATTACCAAAAAATCCAGTTCACTTTAAAATGTACCAAATTTGTCCTCAATCTTAACCAACTGCTAGAGTGATAGTTTAGGTATTTAACTTTATTTTCTTGCTTTACATATTTGTACCCTTGCATAATGTATAAATTAAGTTAATTTAATTCTAAAAATAACTCTTTTATCTGAATATATTTCAAAATTCTCCATAATTACTTCAACTTTTCCTCTTCCCAAAAAATGACAGGTAACTTTTCTTCTTCCCTGATATGGATTTTTTTTTTTTTCATATTCACGGTTTCTCTTCTATTATTTTATTTTTCAGATTCTCTATGGAAAATGAATATAGAATTTCATTGAACCCGTATGTCACGGACAACCACAAAAAGTTACAACCAAAAACTAATCGAGATCACTTATCACCCAAACACCATTAACTATAGAACACGAAAGATGGAGCAATCAATATTTCTCGTTCCAAGCCTCGTTTGAATTTGAAAATGCCAACGTTTGCCCCTCCAGACCAACGCATGCCATGAATAAGGTCGTCACGGACGCCCACAAAAATTTTGGCCAAAAATCCGTCAGGATCACATATTACCCAAAATTCATTTACTATAGCACACAGAAAATGAAAAAATCGATATTTCCCCTTCAGTGCCTCGTTTGAACTTGAAAATCCTAATGTTTTCTCCTCCAAACCAAAGCACGCCATTAATAAGGTCGTCACAGACGCCCACAACTTTTTTTGGCCAAAACCCACCAGAATCACATATCACCCAAAATCCATAATAGGACCCGAAAAATGGAAAAATCGATATTTTCCATTATGAGCCTTGATTGAACTTGAAAATGCAGAAGTTTGCCCCTCTGTACCAACGCACTCCATTAATTTGGTTGACATGGATGCCCACAAAAAAATTTGGCCAAAAACCCATCGGGATACAATATCTTCCAAAATATATGGACTATAGCACATGAAAAATGAAAAATTAGTGTTTTCATGTTCTATAGTTTCAAACCTCGTTTGAACTTGAAAATACTAACGTATTCCCCTCCGGACCAACGCATGCCATTGTTAAGGTCATCACGGACGCCCACAAAATATTTTGGCCAAAAATCCGTGGAATGACATATCACCCGAAATTCATGAACTATAGAACATGAAAAATGGAAAAATTTGTATTTCTCATTTCGATTTCGTTTGAACTTGAAAATGCCGACGTTTTCCCCTCCAGATTAACACACACCGTTAAAAAGGTCGTCACGGACGTCGATATTTTTATTCTAGCCCTCGTTTGAACTTGAAAATACCAATATTTACCCGTCTGAACCAACACACAACATTAAATAGGCTGTCACGGACGCCCACAAAAATTTTGGCCAAAATCTCACAGGATCACATATCAACCAAAATTCATGAACTAGCACACAAAAAATGAAAAAAATTGATATTTTCCATTTCAGGTCTCATTTGAATTTGAAAATGTCGACGTTTTCCCCTCAAGACCAACACACGCCATAAATAAAGTTGTCACGAACGCCCACCAAAAGTTTCGGCCAAAATCCCATCGGAATTACATATTACCAAAAATCTATGGACTATGCAGATGAAAAATGGAAAAATCAGTATATCATGTTTATGTGCCTTGTTTGAAATTGAAAATATCGATGTTTGCACCTCCGGCCCAGCACACGCCACTAGTAAGGTCATTACGGACGCCCATGAAAAATTTCGGCCAAAAATTCATCGGGATCACATATCACCCAAGCACACAGAAAATGAAAAAATTGGTATTTTCCCTTTCGGGCTTAGTTTGATCTTGAAAATGCCGACGTTTTCTCCTCCGAACCAACGTACGCCATTAATAAGGTCGTCATGCACACGCAAATAAAATTTCATCCAAAAACCCATCAGGATCATATATCATCCAAAATTCATTGACTATAGCACATGAAAAATGAAAAAAATGGTATTTTCCATTTCGGGCATCGTCTGAACTTGAAAGTACCGAAGTTTGCCCCTTCAGAAAAAC